CCGATGCCTGTATTTGCATGTACTAATAATTAAGCACGTTATCGGTCTCCAAATCCTAAGAAAAATCTAAAAGTGTATGGAAGTATTAAATACAATATAAAAAATAGAAATAGAGGTACTGGATCCTTAACACAAGAGTCTGAAATTATTACATTTTGTTTTATTATTAAGCCTATTAGTTTTAACGTTCCTTGTTAAGAAAACGTAACCAGTTTACTTACTGTCAATATTAATTAGTGTTTTATTCCGTAAGCAGGTGTAAATACTTATTATTATCTGTGTGTCGCGTTGATATATGCTTCCGCTTTTTATGTAGACCCGTTTTTGTCACCACAAACTAATCACCGTTTTTAAGCGTCATCCGAAGCACTTCCGTATCGTTTGCGTAACACTTCCGTACCGTTCAAACGAACGTGTACGGGTCTGTAGTTCTTTGACCAACTTGGCATTGGCTGTAGTAATCTTTTATTGTATTATTATCATTTGATGTCGTGCTGTACTGCATCCAAACATTATATTTAGTTGGCTTTTGTTTCTGGAACAAATATGACAGCAGATGAGGTCTTTCGAGTGCTGATTCATCCATATTTCTTAAACTTTACGAATTATGACTTTGCTCTCTTGGAGAGAGCTATTTGTTTACACCCTCCGAGCCAACAGTTTGTTTTTGAAAGTAGAAACTTCATTTAATGTTCGAGTTCTCTGTCTCTTCTGTCAGTTTCCGGTGATCTTTGATAAATTGGTCCCCGTATCCAATTGAGACATGCAGTCACAATCTTTAGCACTTCCTCAATTATATCAACGAAGCATTTTGATATTAATTTCTAATACGAAAACATTATCCAATGCTTAAGACGGCCATATGGAAAGACTTTACAATCAATGGGGATTTAGTTACTGTTCTGTCAATGTTAGTCTGTAGATCAGAGTGTTGTCTTTGACCAGTCTTAAGTGCCTACTAGATGCCTCTAACATTGGCATGACATCTCTTAAACCACGATCAACGACTATATTGTTGTCTTGCTCCAACCACGTGAGCTTGTCTATAATGTTTTTGTAATGCTTGCATCATTTTGGCTATCAGAGAATGGTCCTATTGTGTCCAAAATGTAGCCATCAGGTAGAGCTATGCTATTGAATTTAAGATAATTTACGCTCTTTCTGGCCACCGTAAGACCTTCTCTGAAGCTTATTGACAGCACTAATTTTAATATAAGTATATGTACCATCTATTAAGGCTGTCACTTTGTCTCCAAATACTGTTTCTGAGAATAACGTATTGTGTGAAAGTATATGTTCCCTACTCAAATGGTCAGGACCAAGGATCACTGGAACTATAGATTGATTCAATGCTCGTTCTACTGAATGAAAGGTTTTTGAAATACTAGACAAGGAAATGCGAAAAATAGCGGAACACTTAATAACAAGAGATATCAGTTTTCCTCCGAACCCAAAACAGTAAAAGAGCATTTTGTGTAGTTTTGGTTATACCGAAGAAGAAAGAAATGGGACAAATTACGAATGGATTATGAGAAACTGTTCTTTGACCAACCTCCACAAGCTTTGCAGCCAGAGTCATCCAAGAGACAAAAATTGAGAATGAAGGCTGTTTGATTCTTTGATAAGATGGACGACGCGTTTAAAAGGTCATCAATTATTTCAGATGACATACTTCATAATTGAGAATTCAAAGACTCTCTTCCTTATAGGATATCATGTATACCAGGATTTAGGTCATTGCCAATAAGATGAAATGAGCATATACGTGATGACATAGACCACCACAATTTGTGTGCGAAAATTAACTGATGCCTGGCACATTTTTGCTTCCCTTCGAATTCAAATTATTAAAACAAAGAAAATATTTTTATGTGAACAGGACCCGTAAAACAGGTCCTTGTTTGTTAAGAAAAAAACCTTCTAATAGTTTCATCTTCAAAACGTTCTGTTTCAGATTATCTTTTGTGAAGCACTTCAGATTAATTCTATTAATTCGTTTGAGCAATCTATGCCACTTTCAGTCAGTATGGATTTTTACATTTACATTTCGCGAAGATTTACTCTTCATTATGAGATGAATATTAACAAATGAGTATGAAATATCCCCTAAAACCATTGTAAAAACGAAAGTATGATGATAAAATGTATAGAAAAATTATAAAAAAATGTATAAGAAGAAATTCTAAAAAGTGACAAGAACATTACATTTGATCTCAAAATTGATTGTTCACAAAACCTTAATCAATCACGCCAAGTGATGAAATAAATTGAGATTTGGAATTGTTTGTGACCTAACATGCACTAAAATGTTTATTTTAGGCTTGCAACAAATTCAATGACCAATAACCTGTAATCAGGTACATTGCTTTGTGGTGGACGCCAGGGAGGTGTCTAGGCCATCACCTTTTTGGGGTACATTGGGTACTTTGTTATGCGAAAATATTAATATTGCATATATGTTTTACAATAACACCACTTCCTCATATTATGAGAATGTGTTGTATACAGTAATAATGAGAATGAAAAATCCTATATTTTATATTAAAAGTTTCACAAGATTAAACTCACTTTCTCGATGATAAATATATCTTTAAAGTGAAAGAACATGTCTATTCCCAAGTATTATGATGAAAATGCTTTCAGGCTAATCTTCCATTTTTCGACTGCTATGCTGTTATTAGGTTAATTAACCATCTAAAAAATTAGAAGAGTGATTCAAAGTAATAACTCAAGAAGTATAAGGGATTGAAAAAGTTAAAACAGCAGCATAAATCTCGTAGCACTTCTGAAACAAAAGTTCTTATAATCACAATGAAGTTGTTTTAAAAAGGTTTACTGATCAGTGATTGTAAGACATCTAATTGTCAAAATGTAAAAGCTTAGATCAATGCATTGTGATAGACTTTTTTTGTTTGGTTTGTTTATGTTTACGTCCTATTAACAGCTATGGTCATTTTAGGACGTGCAACGTTTTGGTAGAACAATCGGGGTGGGGGGGGGGGGGGGGGGATCATCGACCTGCGGCCAGTACCTAGTGACTGCCCCAAGTAGGTCTCGAACCCGCGACCCAGTGTCAGACTATTTATCCACTTGGTAACCGCGGCCCCCGTTGTAAGGGAGAGGAAAATCAAAATTTATTGAAAACCTTAAAATTCCGATATGCCATCGCCTTCATTATGTTTCCCTTCCAAAGATATATTCCATTAAAATCGCATGTGGTTTTGTATTTTACCAAAATATGTCTTTCAAAATTTCAAAATAGAAATAAAAATAGAAATCAAGAAAACATTAGGGGTCGAAGTCGGGACCTTTCCATTGCAAAGCCAACACTATACCATTGTTGCCGCCTTGGTGAAAGAAACGTGCGCTATCCACTGCACCAACCGACCGCCAAAGACTTTCAAATGCACAAATATGTTCAGGTATACTTTTAAGGTTCTTTTAAGAATTACAACCTTTTCTTGGATTGAAAGTGTTTTTAATGCTCAGGGAATCTAAAAGAATGATGAGAATCAAACCATGTAATGAAGTTTGGTTAAGGCTTGTTTTTAGATTTAAATAATGATTAAAGATGAATACAACTATAGAAGTTGTTCGACTCCGCCTAAACTTTTATACGAAAAGTTCTCGTGAGAAAAACAGTTTCTTAATAAGACTAACAAGACGAATCTGAGTTCTAACACTATCTGTTCAAATACTGAAAGATTGAGAAATTGATAAGCATATTATCATCCAAACGTGTCCTCTTGATATGCATTTTTGTGTTATCTTTATTTCTTTGGTCTGACAGAAGTGACACTCATATTTTCTCCAATCGTAACCAATCAGTGTTCAATGCAAACGATTCTTGTAAATAAACTGTTTGCATATTATATCGACGCTCGTTTCAAGTGCTTGAAAGGTGTTTAGGACAATGATAATATACAAGAAATACACTAGTCATTCTGTCAGGTTAATGTAGAAATTGGGGAAATAATAAAACAAAAAAAAAATAGCACAGTATGATGTGTTTTATCTTGACCTAGGGGACCCTGCCGTGCTTTGAAGTAAAGAGAGAGTTAAGTAGGTACATATCCCATGGGTAACATAGTAACTACCTGGTGCCTGCCATACGTAGGTGGGGGGCTAGTGGGAACAGAATGTCAGACGCCTTTATTCCTTTGCCACCGCGACCCCCTTCCACACAAATTTTGATAAGAACGTCATTATGACAAATTGTTCAATATTAACATATTTGTCGTAGGAAAGTTTACTAATCATTCAATAATATCTTTTCTATTGCAATGAATACCAGGTATGTTATATGAAAAATTAAAATTAAGCACGCAAAACTCTGACTTCAGGTAAAGGGAACCACAGTACCAGTCATATTTATAATTCATCCTTCACTATGATGCTATAGAGTAACATTTACTGGATAACATTATTGGTAAAGTGTAGTATTGTCAATGGTTGAGGTCAAGAATTCGAACCCAAAATACAATACAATGTGTGATTTATATGGATAAAGTGTAGTATTGTCAATGGTTGAGGTCAAGAATTCGAACCCAAAATACAATACAATGTGTGATTTATATGGAACACTTATATAGATAGTGAAAATGGTCATTCTATATTTTAACTTTATACCTTACTCTGTCAGATTTAATACAACAATATGGAAAATCGCTATGTTGTGATACACACAATACACAGTTATAGCATACTTTTATAAATTCAACTTCCTACCTTACATAAACGACAATTTAACATTGGATAGTATCAAGAAATACCGAACTATATCTTACTGAGATATTAATAATCCTAAATGAAATCTTCTGATAACCCCTGATAGCTAAAATCTCCTTTAAGCATATACAACAAATAAAATCAATACCCTATGGTTTATATCTATTTAACCTTTGAAATTTTGGTGATTTTACATCACAGACGATGATACCACGTGATAGATAATGGTGTTACGTTTGCTTAAAAAAACATTCGTTTCCCAATCACTTAACCATACCAGTCCATATGAAGTATAAATTAAAGCCAGTTGTGTTTTAGATTTTATCCAACAGATATGCTCTCTTCCTAAACACAGGTAAGTGTTATTTCGTCATTCTTACATTTTGTTAGCATACATATTTAGCAGTTATCAGATTTAATTTTTTAGCCTTGAAATGTTCCGATAAATTACGACTTTGCTCATTGATGTTTCAATTTTTAGATTTTTTTTGCATATACTGTGAGTGCGCAAGTTCATCAACGCGCTTGTCTGTTCACATTTATTGATAATCTTAAATTTGTGTTCGCTAAAATAAGTACTTTTACAGTTTTTAGAAATGCATTAGCAGAGGTCTAATTCGTCTTCAGGATGTAATTAGGAAACTCACAAGAGCATTTTCGAATAATGGTTTCGATTTAGTCAAACCTCTCTGTTGTACTTTAATTCATATTATCATTTAAATATAAATAAGCCTTAACCCAAAGTTCATTACATGATTTGTTCATCTTTAGCTTTTAGTTTCATTGAGCGTTTTAGATATATTCGATCAAAGAAAAGTTAGTATTTCTTGAAACAACTTTATAATTATTCTTGTACATACAAATGTATATGCATTCGGATGTCTCATTAATTATAAATTAATTTCAAGTAATCAATCTTCCTTAATTCGTATGTCCTGTTATAATTGCTACTAAAACGGATATTTATCATGATCAGAACAATTTAATTTTGACAAGAATCAAAATCATAATGTTTCATATCACATAAAAAAATTACAAGACACATTTCAATGGAAATGCCAATATAGATATGAACCAAATTGAAATACACCCGCTGTGCTACGATTCGAGAAACAATATTCGTCCAGAAATATATTTCATAAAAATCCATTTGACGATATTTCACAAATTTATAACTAAGAAAAAAGGGATTATATGTCACAATCGGCGATAAACAAGCACTAACCTAGATCAACCATTAGGCCACCAAAACGTAGAAATTAAAAAAAGGATAAAACGGAAATAAAAATTACCTTTAATATCGTGTTTTCATTTTAATAAGCATTTTATATTGCTTATGTTTAAAATTGTTTTCAATTGATCCATTTTAATCATAATTATTAAATTAACTCTTTTATGTTAAGGTTACCGCTGCATCAGTTAAAATCGTGCGGCGAGTTCCATTCCGATTTGTATTTGCCTTGAAGTATTCTACTTATAATTCTATATAGGAGGTGAGTAAACACATTTTTTTCTGACTTAAAGTAACTTTCTCAGGCAATTTCCGTATTTTTTTGCGGCCAATACATACATTTAAATCCTGCTTTGTAACAAACGTTAAGTGTAGGCTTCGCAATGGCAAGGTTCCGACTTCGCAGTTTTTCATTTTTTCTGCTTTGTTTTCTATTTTTGATTTCCAATAAATACCATTTAGTAATATGCACGATAACATGTGATGCTTATGGAATATTTCTTTTAAAAAGGAAGTAAACACTATTTGAGAAAAATGGCAATGATAATAATATCGTTTATCTTGTTTGAACCCTTAGCCTTAAATACTTAGAGACATTTAACAATCCATATGTTATGCCTCTGTTTAAAATGGGGCGTCCAACGAAAGAAGTCAAAACAATTCGTTTAAAGACACATGTGTTTAATGTCTCTATTTGAAGAATTCCTCGGAAACATTATACTCCTTTTTTAAGACAAATTGGGAATATATATAGCTCTGTTCTTTATCTCTCAACCTAGTCAGACAAATTTGTGCTCAGAGTAACTGAAATAAATGACTGATTGAATTGATTCATATCCGTTCTTTACAAAGGACAGGGAAAATAACATTATTTTTATGCATTAAGACACATTGATGCAATAGGGAGTCTAACACTGCGTCCATTTTCAGTTTCCTCAGTTTCAAGTTCATATAAAGTGACAGCAGAAAAAGTGGAAGGATTATGTATACCTTTGCAACATAATTTGCTGCAGTAATAACTGCATAGTGTTACTTTAAAATGTAATTAATAGCAAATTTATTTATTTTCTAGTTGAACACCATATATATTTCACTGTTATAACATATTATACCGATATGTTCACTCGCGCTTCGCAGTCTTTAAACATATCGATAATCTGCCAAATGCGTTTAATAGATCGTATTCAATGGAAAGCCGTTAAATATCCTGTATATGTTTTGTTAATTATGAACAAATCTTGACCTCTTGCACTGCAGTGAATCAGGACTTTTAAAATGAACCATACTTTATTCCAGACATGTTTTACAATACACTGTATTTGTTTTTGTTTATCAATTATTTTCTGCAGCCATTAAATAAAGTGGCGTTTTGTGCAATTCTAAAAATAGGTTCTTCCTTGTTGTTTCAAGTTGATGTATTTACTATTTTACATCATTTAAACTAAGTTTTATATATTTTGTGAGTTATAGTGTAAAGACATTCTTTCCGTTATTTTCATTGATCTATCTTCTTTAAAAGAGAATAGAGTTTGCTTGCTTGTTGAAATTATATTAATGATATAGTTATATTCATTGTTGTATTTGTTACTGATAATTCTAAAACTTATGGTTGTACAGTTAAGGATTACTACATTACCGATAAGAAATGCCAAGAAAAGGATTATCCAACTATATCCTCATGAAGAATTTCCTGAAAAGATTATAAAATAAACTTACTTCACTAAATAATCCTCTTAAGGCATCGAAATACCCTATAATATACGTGTAACAATTACCGTAACGTAGAAACAGTAGCCCTTTTATAAAGAACGAGGTCTCAGCATTCTCATAATATAATTGAAATTCAAAATGACTTTTTTTCTTCTTCCCCCATTTGCTATCTAAGGCGACGGAATTCAAGTTGTTAATCTAAATACCAATATTTGACCTATAATGTTTGCAATTTCCATAAATACAACAACATTTAATTCATTCTTTTACAAAAAGCAATCTGTTCGCAAATTACTTCATTTATTTTTTCAACAATTATGAAACAAGCTATATCAATATATCTAACCACTCCTGTTGACCCTGATCTTAGTTCGCGTTTGGTCTGAACGTAGGAGGAAACTAGAATACCTCGAGAAAAACCAACGTGCTCGGGCAAGTGACCCAATAACTTATCACGTCAGATCGGGGAATCGAACCCCGGCCGTTTTGGTAAAAGACGAGTGCGGTATCCAATGCGCACCAAGAATGTAATTTGCTCGTCTCAAAATGGTTTGTTTTTTTCACCTTTTTTAAAATAGTTCGTTTTTATGTTTTTTTAATCTGTTCAGTAATTGTACCGTTTTACGATAATAGTTTTTTTTTTAATTTCATTGAATAAGAAACAATGGGTAAAATAGTTATATAGCAAATGCCAGCGTAGTCTGTAAATGTATAGATATAACGGCTGAACATAATCATGATGATTGCACATTGAAATTTCAAGCTTTGCTATAGAATTTGATTTTTCTCTCATTTACAATGAAGGCCGCGGTGGCCGAGTGGTTAAGGCGTCTGACATTCTGCTATCACTAGCCCTCCAGCACTCGGTCGGGGTCGTACGCCTACGTGGAGCAATCGCCAGGTACTGGCCGCAGGTCGGTGGTTTTTGTCTGGGTACTTCTGGCTTTCTTCAACCACTAAAACCTGGCACTTCCATAAACGACCAGTGCTGTTAATAGGACGTAAATCACAAACAAACAAACCAAATCTTATTCAATGCATCAATCTTATTTTAACAATTAGATGTCTAACCAACACTTATTGGTACACCTTTATCAAAAAAAACTTATTATTAAACACTTATAAAACAAGATATATCAACATATTTTTAATCACTCTCGTTAACCCTAATCTTAGTTCGCGTTTTGTCTGAACGTTTGAGGAAACCAGAATACATGGAGAAAACCAGCGTGTTCGGACAAGTGACCTCAATATCCTATCGCGTCAGATAGGGGAATCGAATCCTGGCCGTCTTGGTGAAAGACGAGTTCGTTAACCAATGCACCACCAGACAAGAATGCAATTTGCACGTCTCAAAATCGTTTATTTTCCACCTCTTTGAGAATGGTCCGTTAATATTTGTTTAATCTGTTTAGTTATTGTACCGTTTTCCGATAATATTTTCACTGTGTGTATTAAAATTAATGGATATAATGGTTATTGAGTTAATGTAAGCGTAGACAATAAATGTTAAGATATAACGGCTGAACATAATCATGACGGTTGCATATTGAAATTTCTAGCTTTGCAATATAACATGATTTCCCCTTACTTACAGTTGTGTGACCGCCCGACGCATCAACATCTTGTGCACACCGAGCGCACAATTGTGCTATTTAAAATTCGTTCGCCTCGCTGTGTTTTTCTCTCCGCACAAATGTGCGATTTGTTACATTGGTTGATCTATATTACCGTAGGACCGTTATGAAAAAACATCTGGACGTTAGATATTTGTCAATTGCATTTGTTTTGGTCCATAGCTCCCCTTCACCTGGATTTTCACAACATGACGAGTTACGCCCCGGGTCAGAAAACTAAGGTCCTGCTACATGTACAAAGTGCAATGTTTACCTGTATATGGGATCGTGTTCAAATATGCGGTAATTTCACATGTGTCGATTTGGAAAAAATCAAGTGGATATGTTTAAACACTGAACAGTATATATTGTTGTTAAGCTATTCTTCATTTTACACCAACCACGATTGTAATCACACAACGTTCGTTCATTGTGCGCACAAATGTGCGCACTCAATCATCGTTCACACATCGTGCACACACCGTCCTTACACTGCACACTGTGTAACGTTATGCGATCCAACAACTGTATCAATAATGTTAAGAAAATGTAAAATCATGAACAGTTTTATGAAAAAAAACAGTACTGTATGTAAGCAACATGAACTTCCGTAAAAATATTACAGCAAGACCTAAACCAAGATTTTGATACGAAGTACTACACTGCAAAATACTTAAGCAGAATGTGATGCATTCATATTAAAAGTTTTAGTCAAATGTTAATTAAACAGTGCGAACGCACAACGTAACACGATGTGCGGTGTGCGCACGATGTGTGCACAATGTGCGAACGATTATTGCTTGCGCACGCTTGTGCGGACGATGGACGAACGTTGTGCGATGACAATCGTGGTTGGTGTAAATTGAGGAATGGCTTAACAATGATTCAGAAATTGTGTTTCGGTGTTTTTAAACGACCCAAATCGACACATGTAAAAAATATATAACACGTATGGACGCGGTCCCATATACAGGTAAACATATCTACCTTATGCAGGTACCTGAACCGTATTTTTTTCACCTTGGGCACTAACATTTTGCCTAAGTCACATTTGCCACGGCGGCCGTGGAATATCTACGGCCAATAACAATTATAGGTCCGCCGCAGAATTTCCACGGTCACATACTATAGCAGTCACATATGTTAGGGTAGCCGCACGGCGTATTTTGAATTTGTGGATACATAAAACCTGCGGTTGCCGCACGGCATTTGAAGTGATGACGCACGGTCGCCTTAGGGCGTCCCTGCGGCGGCCGTAGGTTTTTGACAAATACCAAGGCAGACGTAAGGTAGCCGCAAGGCGCCCGCAAGGCGCCCGCAGGGGGACCCTAAGGCGACCGCGTGGTCTGACAGACTAACGCTACCACTACGCACCTGGAGTTTATAAGGAGGGGTTTGCCACACACATTAGGACATTTCACAAGAAAACATTTCATCACCAAATTTCACAGTTTCAAACCATGCCTCCCACGAAGAGATTAGCAAAGGAGAAGGGGAAATGTGGGCAGGCTAAGAAAAAGACCAACCGAGACCATCCGTAGGTAGTCCAGCCTCAGCCGTTGTGGAACACTCATCGCCATCTTAACTTTGTCTACAATCTATATGACAGATATGAAAACTGGTATATATACCGGCCCCACGCATGGCGCAGATTACCACGGGGCCGTACGGATGGCGCGCGGCGGGCGTACGGAAGCCGTGCGTGGGCCTTGCGTTGCATGCAGTGTGTGTCACATACCGCAAAGCCACCGTACGGGCACCATAGGGCCGCCTTAAGGCGGCCTTTGGGTGCCCGTGGTATTCCTGCGGCCGCCCCTATTTTTGGGGGGTTCAAAAAGTCAATTAGCCGCACGGCAAACGCAAGGCCACCGTACGCCCGACGTATGGTCGCCGTGGAACAGATTTACGGCATGGCTGCGGCGTGCCTAATTGCTACGGCGAACGTAGAAATGAAAAAGGTTATAACTCCGCGTTATAATCCTACGGCGACCCCTACGGCCTGTAAAAGATAGGGATACGCCCTATGGCGACCGTGAGGCCACCTCAGATTATCTGCGGTCGCCGCAGGTATCTCTCGATTTCAGAGATCTACGGCCGCCGTATCCTAGCCGTAGAGCAAATGTGACTTAGGCATTACTTGGCAAGGTTTGATAATCCAGGTGAAGGGGACCTCTAGACCAAAACAAATGCGAATAACAAAAACGTAACGTCAAGTTGTGTTTCCATAACAGTCATACGGTTTCATAGATCGGCTCTATGTGTCAGCCACTATGTGCCAGGTAAAACTCCGTTCATCATCAACATTTATTTACCTGTTCTGCTACATGGGTGCCAAACCCATTATTAACAACCTAACGGTCGCTGAAATACTGTGTAACACGCATTGTAAAATTGAACATAATCTTAATTGATATGATGAGAAATTTATATAAACAGTATAGTGTTTCTTATTCCATACGAGCCTTCCAGATGTATTTCCAATCGCACCGTTGTGCGGAGAGAAGCGCACAACGGGACAAACGATTGTTAAATTGCTCAGTTGAGTGCACCATTTGTGGACGATGTGCGGACGGTGTGCGGACGGTGTGCGCACAATGTATGCACGATGTGCGCACGCTGATTTTGGTCCGTTGTGCGGTCACACAACTGTATATATATAGCAATTGAATGTCAATTGGAACATTGAGATACACATTATCTTTTAATTGCAAAATGTCTGCTCATGCAGAAGTATATTTGGTGTATATAATGTAAAAAAATCTGTAAACTTGTGTCGGACACAAATTAATCTTATTGTTGCATGAAATTGACTACACCTCATTTAAGATTTTACGTGTTTTGTGACCATGGATTGTAAAAATATAGAAGAAAAACATATTCTACATTACCTTATATAACTCAAGATATTATGTCACTTTATCCAAAAATGATTGAAGCCTCCATATTTCATCAAACGTTTCCTGTCACCATGCGCTCTCCTTCATCATTCATCAGCCATTTTGTAAGTTTGTTGATTTTTAGTTAGAGATGATCATGGGAATTCCTTATCTGTGATGCACTTCTGGCAATATTCTGGTGACATTCTGACGATATGAAATCTGCCCCAGAACTTCACAAAAATGTCACTGCAAGTGGTGATATTCTGTGCACTTCTGGCAACATGTTCTGGCTAACTGATTTTTGCGTTGCAATATCGCTATCGCTGCAACTTTCTATTTCTGTAAGGGCAGTAAGTAACTTGCAGAAGGTTTGCTGCATTTTCTTGTTTTATTTATTGCTTTTGTTTCACAGAAAATGGACCAGGCAATCGATTTACTTACAAGCCATTCACGAGAAGATGCTATCACCACCAAACTCATCCAGCCTCCTTGGTTCCGAGCGTCAGAAATCTTGTTGTACTGTCTGTTCATCATATCAGCAGTGACGGCAGCCCTCAAGTTGCAGTTTGACACCTTCAGCTGTAATGTCGTGGAATGCATATATAACGAAACCCTAACTACCATACAAACCTGTCCGCGATTCCAAACTAGGAGTTTAGACGCAGACGCCACCTACAATTTTATCGATGACAAGTGCCGAGATCAGATGATACCGTTCGTTTTGGAAAATATCCCATTTATTTACTTTATAATTGCAACTATATTACTGAGCTGCAGTTCGCTGTGGTTGAAATTGCCAAGTAGTGCACTCTACATTGAACGCTTTGTTGGATTTGTTAAGGAATGTAACGAGGCTATAGAGACACACGGCTCTGTGTATTGGGAGTATGTTTCAGATACCAGCCTACCAGCCTACCGTCAACAAAACAGAGTGGTTCAATTTCTTATAACATGTTTTTGTTGTAGAAATAGAGTTTCCCCAGACAATGTAAGAGAGAAGTCATCAAGCACTGGTTCTTGCCAAAATGGATCGGATCTTGAACCAATACAGAAATTAAGCAAACTGCATGATAAATTTGTACACATGGTAAAACCTCAAAAACGAAAAATACATGTATGTGTTATTCTGATACTTCAACAAGTATTACTAACAGGACTGTCGTTGGTATTTTTTTTGTGTGTTTCTTGCACATTCTTTTGGTTTGATTTTTTGCGAAATGAATATATCTGTGTTTTAGAGGAATACAGTAGAATTGCATGCCATTATCGTTTGTATGCAACTTACTATTTTTTTGCTGTTATTTTTTGTTTTTGCAATTGTTTTCACTGTTTCCTCTCATGTGTGCATCTCTGTTGGGTGATCCGTCACTCGTTTACACCTATCGATATTTCAAGAGATCCTAAAGGGCGGAAACGTTATGTTTCAGGTCAACTTGGACTGATGTTGCACTTATTGACGACCAATGACACGTATTTTGTTAGCAGGGTGCAGTTTTTTATGAATGATAAAACGAAAGCCCCGGTGACATATGAGGAAAAGGAACTGATGTATTCAGAAGAAAACCTTGAACGCATCAACAATAAAAAAGGACAATTGCGATTACAAAATTTGCAATTCAGGCCGCGTAGTTTTGATAGTCTGCATCGTATTCCAAATCTTACAGTTCTTGGCCTTACTAATTGCAACTTGACTGAATTTCCGTTTTGTATTCTCTTATCGAAATCACTGATGAAAGTTGACTTATCTGATAACAAAATTGAAATAATTCCAAGACTTACCGGCGAGGTCAAAGATCGGACGGGATTGAACTCGCTAGTGCTAGATGAAAATCATCTTCTGCCGATTAGCATGATAAACTTAAGTACATGGACAAAGTTAAAGATACTCTCTATCGTTAACACGATGGGTAAAAAAGAGCTTAAATTTTCTTAAGAATGTTTACATACCCAAGCATTTGAAGGGCTAGAAATTGTAATTGGTGAATTCAACGGTGACCAAGAAAGCGGGCAAGACATCCTGTCGTATCTAACGAATAGTGATTTGCAGTCCGGAGTCTTTTTAACAATCCGAAACAAAAAGGCAGTGCTGGAGATCATATCGAACTTCAAGACAACTCTCGAACACGAAGACTCGAATACGAATAGTTTGGTACTTAAATCACTGGTTTCACTTGAAGAGGCAATAGAGCAGGATGAAGACGATCAGAGCATCGTTGACATATCACAGTGTTTAAAAGACTCGACTGTACACGTGAATCAGTTAAACGAAGTGAAGGATGCAATTGAAGCCCATTACAGACGTCCAGTACGTAAATGGTTTTCGAGTATTATAATAGAACAAAAACGAACAGGAGAAAATGAAACACAAATTGAAAACATGAAAACAACAAAAAAGCAAAATCATTCTGGAAATACAGTTACCCCCAAAAAACTACGAAAACAAATGAAAAAACAAGCCAATCAGTCAGGGCCAAATGTAAGGCCCTACTTACGTTGAGCTTTTCCCTTACTTCAATATACATTTTATCGACTCGATACTCAGACAAGTTTGATATACTATTTCATGGACTTCACAACTTAGTATATCAAACATTTATATAACTAAATAGAAATTGAGCTTATCCATAACGTATACACTTTTGTAGACAATAAGTTAAACCTACTCCTATCGAACGTAATACCCTTTGAGCGACAATCAGTTACAAAACACCAAAGACGGCCAGTTGGCTAAACGCTTGTGTGACAACGTACACGTTATACATGCTAGGAACAAGAACAATTCATTGTTTGTTTCAGAGAAAGGGTCACAAAACCAACATGCAAAGATTTAAAAAGAACTAATTACTTTCACTTTCGTTTTAAACTTTATTTCTTCAATTCTTGAAGAAATGATAAATTGTTTAGTTCTGTGATAATCAATCTGGTCCATTACTCAGCTTCTGTTTTGGCAGTTTTGGTATCTTCTGAAACAAGAGGACAAAGCATTACTCAAACGTGATACACAAATATTTATTTTAGATTCAATATGCAAAAAACAATATCACTGGGACTTTGGCCTTTGAAATACATTTCGAACAATTTTATAATTAAATAGTTCATGTATACCATTGGATAGTAAAATTCGAAGAATAAATTAATAGAAATGATATTGTTTTGTTGTCTTTATTATCAATGCTTCTTATTTCCTTAACTATAACACAAATGGTAACGGTTTGAGCTTATAGTTGTCATTAATGTATATAAAAAAAAATCTTTTTAACTTTGTCTTATTTTAACATTATGTTTTCTTTCAAATCATTTCTAATATTTTGTTTTATTTTGTCAGCATGTATTCTTTCAAAACTTTTCTCTTATATTGTCTTAATTTTCTCTTTCAATAATTTCGGTTGTATTTTGAGGATTATTGTGAGAGGAAATTGGAGAAACAAGGAAGCGGTCGAAATAGTATTTATGAATTTTATTCCAAAAGTCATCGCTAATGTAACTGCAGTAAAATCACATTCACTTCTCCGTTTATTCATCTTAATGCTAGGAATTTTAACATTCATAACTACATATCAAATATATATATCATATAAGGAGGCACGGTAGTCCAGTGGTAGGACGCCGGGCTCGTGACCGAAGGGTTGCGGGTTCGCGTCACGGCACGGCAATGTGTTGTATCTTTGAGCAGGATACTTTACTCCGCTTGTTCCAGTCAACTCAGCTGTAAATGAATACGTGGTTGGGCAGTGCTAGAATTGTTGAATGCTAGCTGTTAGCACCGAAATGGTAGCTCCGGCTGTATGGTCCCCAGGGAGTTGAGAAATGAATTGGCTGGTTGCAAAGGCCCTATAACCACGGATACTAATTTGTGAACCGCTTTGAGACGACCTACGAACTGGATTGTGATAAAGAGGTATATAATAACCTCCAATTATTATATCTACATTATTTTCAAGTTTATGTCTGTATATTCCAAATATACCAAATTTTACCTATTTTAGCTACATTTTATAACTTGATGAGTTTGAAGTGACCCTTCAATCATTCCGTCATGCCAAGATACGCCGTTTTTCATATTTGATTTTTTATTCATCGTCGATGTCACATCTACGTTTAAACATTATATCTACCAATGTAGAAATTCACTTTGGTACAAAATCTTAAAATGAATCAGTCCGCATAAGTAAGATGTGTACAGCCTTTTGATGCTGTGTAATACTGTATATATTTAATTGCATCGACAATTTGACAAGTACAAAAAAAAAGGTAAACTGTATGAGAAAACAAATGTTTCATTGAATAAAATAAAAAATAAAAATAATATAAGTGTTTAGTTTTATATCTATTTTTTAAAAGTAATATCATTACTTGTATACCTTAGTTAGGCTCCTAAGCCAGTTGACATTTTAGTTTTTTGATAACTTAACTTTGATATTTGAATACATATTTTTCATCAAACTTCAAGAAATATCATAAGTCTTATATTTACGTTAACTCTTACATAATATGCTTAGCAAGGCAGGAAAATAAAATCGTGTATCAGATAATTGATTTGATATCTTTGGGGAGGTATATGCTGTCAATCGCATTATTGCGAACCGCCTGCCGAGCTGAGTAGCCCAATGACAAGGTTATGTAATTTTATAACACATAAATAGAACTTATATCTATGTATCCTGTATTAGAAACAGTATGAATCTGTTTGTTCTTACAGATCGATAGATAATTCCTGTCAGATATATTTATGTTTGTAAACTACATGGTCTTAGAAATTTATTTTCGATAAGACATGTATTATCAGCGTTTTCAACGTGTAATACAAACACGTTACGTGTTAGACTGTCCTACATAAGGTGAACCCCTTGTTAAAACAACTAAATCTTTATGCTTAAAATGTAAGTGGTATTGGAGGAAATGTCTGGATTTTCGTCAATTACAAAGTAGCATACTGTGCGATGGAAACTATCCCCTAGATATGAACTATTTCCGCAACTGATGTTCAAAACCAAAGCATGACCTGTCAGGCCTAGATCCCTGTCTAATACGTATCCTTGCCTCTAACGGGTTTTAAACATTTTTTGTACGAGTTCATTATTTCTCCTAACATGATCCGCTTTATCACAAGGAGACAAATACACCAACAGACCCTTCCGAAGCACACATGCACACATACACACATACACACATACACACATACACACATACACACCATACACACATACACACATACACACATACACAGAGGAGTGTCCTTAAATGACATTGGCTGTTAATAGAACGTTAAACAACAAAACCAAAACCCACTCCTTACATTTAAAGATTTGAACTTCTATTTATCTGTGCGGGTTCCACCTCACGCTATAGGTAATAGAGAATATTAACTTTTTTTGTTACCTGTAAATGTGACGTCACAATAACTGAATTCCACGGAGTAGCTGTTGGAATTTCAATGTGTTAAATTCCACGGATATATACACCGCCGGGGATTCTAGCTGTTGATTTTGAATGTGTTGGATTCTAAGGATAGTACACCACTGGTATTCCATATACTGATGTAATATTATACTAAAAACATCCATGTGTTTGTAATTTTTGTTTTACCTATATCGCTGAATTTCACCAATTTAGCTCTGCCCATCTCTTCTCAAGAATGTGATGTCACAACTGTCCAATAAATAACCTGTAGCCGTGTGATAAGTTGTCACTTATAGGACGGTCATGTCAACTTAGTACACAGCCACCAGTAACGTATAGTACAGCCATAGGTGATACCCCAACACTCCACTGGATATAATACAAAAAACACAATGGATGACATCACAACTGTGCTTTAAGTCTATATATAAAATGAGTACAATAAAGTTTATATACTGTATGAAAAAACAATGTTTCATAGAATAAAAATATATTTAATTGATACCCTGTTTGTTGTATATCCTATTTAAATACAGGGGACATTTTGGTGGCTGCAAGTTGGCTTAGTTTGTGTTGGGTTTAACGTGCGTCATCTCAACAGACAGGATCATATGAGGACGGGTGCCCAATGAGACACCGCCAAGAAGAGAAAGTGGACAAAAAAGAAAGTAAATAGGAAATAAAGTAGACTGGTAGGAAGGACGACAGAAAGGATAGGAAACGATAGATACCCAAAGTATTGCAATTTTGGCAGCCGATCAATTTTGGTATCTTCCGTGCCCTCTTTGTTGTCTCTGCGGTTTTTCATCGAATATGAGTTTTGATATAATCTTTGTGGTTTCATGCTGTGGTATTTTGTAAATAGTATAACAAGTACTTTCGCAATTGCTGCAGAGACGTAATATCTGCTGATATCTGTCATTAGTCTTGTGTTTGTTTTTTGTGCTGTTAAACTGTTCGCCCCCGTCGTCAGATTACCTTTTTATGTGTTACTAAGAGAGAATAAGTTGGTACGGTAGTTTGCGTGCACGGAACAATCAAGGTCATGTAAAGTCGGTAGCCATAAAGAATTTGCCTTTAAACCGAAAATAGAAGACCACATATAAGTGTCACCTAATGGAAATGACATAATCTTCACACGGTGGCAAGTCACTCTACCACGGCACATTACGCTAACAAGGGACTGATCCCAGGGTAGCTCAGGAAGACGCCGGCTAAAGAACGAGTAAGTAAGAAATACATTTTAAAGTAATACCATTATTTGTATTTACTTGTTAGGTACAAAAGCCAGTTGATATTTTAGTTTTTTGATATCTGAATATTCATTATTGATTACATCTTTTTATCAAACTTCATGACATATTATCAATTTTATATTTAAGTTAGCTTTTACATACAATGCTTGGCAAGGCAAAAAAGTAAAATCATACATCAGAAAATTAATTGGATATCTTTGGGGAGGTATATACTGTTTATACGGAGGGTGGGGGTTANGAGGTATATACTGTCAATTATATTATCGCTGGGGAGGTATATACTGTCAATCATATTATCGCTGGAGAGGTATATACTGTCAATCACATTATCGCGGGAGG